TACAATTCTCAATCGATTCATATATGTTTCAATTCTTTTAAACAAAATCGTTCAGTGAAAAAATTCAAAATATTGCAAAATACTACACGTGTCTTAAATTTATGTCCGCTGGGATAAAATTGTTTTTACCGTAACTCATCCAAAACACATGTGATGCTGACAATTTTTTCAGGTTGGATAGTCCTTAACAAGGTCTTTCTAACTATGAAAGAATCAGGTCTTTAGCTATTAATGCGGCTGAGTTATAGCAAAAAACAAAAATGTCTTAAATTTATGTCCCCCACTTTATGTAATGATAATGATATGATTTGTCCTTATCATCGTTATTCATATGGGGTGTTCTGGCGACCATCTTCCGTATGTCAGTCACCTTATCGCAATCATAAAAGACCAAAAGCTACACATTCCTTGCCTGCAGACTACTACAGAAAGTTAATTGAAATAGAAAGTTTTAAAGGTAATAAAAATTATGAATTTCCAATTGGACAAAAGGTTTGTCGGAAATGCTCAACAAAGATCACGTCCGATTGTAATAACAAGAATGACACAACATTGAATGATGAAAATTCATGTTCGACAACTCGTATGTCGAAAACAAAAGCCCAAGAACGACTACAAGAGTTTACGGTATCTAATGATGCCGAATCTGAATACGAGTCTCAATCCAGCAGTTGTTCTTCAAATTTCATGTATACAGAAATATCTTTGAATGATGTTAATCAGTTACTAGCGAAGCTTTCCAATAACATCAAGCCTTTAAAGTATCAAATTCGTCAGCCGATACGTAATCTGTCCAATATCACCATTCGAGAACTAAAACGTCATTATGAATCTATTCTCAATGAAGTATCGACTTTTCTTTGTGAATCTACGGCACCCGGACAAGGCACAGATCTTCTTGAAATATTCAAAGAAACTGCTGACAATGATACTGATGAAGAAAAACTCGATCCTGTTATGCAATCAATAGTTGAGGCTTATTGGTCTGCTCCAAGTCGTAAATGGAAATTCTTTCTTCTATCCATGGTACCACAACACTTTACTCATAAAGAATTGCAGTCGATCTTCAATTGTAGCCGTTATATAATTGATAAAAGTCGTCATCTTCGTCATCAAAATGTTCAATTTAATTTAATGAACCGAAAAATTATTCGACGAGAACGCCTGGACAAACATCGACTCGAATTTTTTTTTTATTTTTGATTTTCATCTGGCTTAATTCAAGATGTTGCTCATGGCACTACATTTATACGATTTGATCGAGGTGATGAAATACTTATTCCACATGTTGTTAGGACTATGATGAAAACCCACATATTTCAATTATATTAGCTGCATTGTATAAAAACATCGTGTGTGCAACCTCTTAGTCGTAGGACTGTATTTCGTGTACTAGGTGCATGCAAAATGCGAGAAAAAAAGACAATGTGTGGATTAGACAGTTTTTCGGTGGATGGAAACGCTGGATTTGATACTCTTCAACGTCTAGTAAAGGAATTACAAGTTAGCAACAGTGAAGAAAAAAATTTACTACAACTTATTAAATTGAGTTGCAATTACTTGAAATTTGAATATCAACAGAATGTCAGTCAAGATGATACTGATTGTGCAACTCATTGTCGATCATTTGCTCTTAGTCATCCATTTGAAAAAGATTTGAAAAGTAATTGCAATCATTCGAAACACTACATGTCATGTATTAAATGCAATTCTCCACTTGCTTTACTTCGTCGAATGGAACATTTAGTGACTGATGCTACACCATCAGACAGCAAAGATGAACTTGAAGTAGATTTATTAACTGCTAAAGTCGACATTCTTTCATGGATGTTCCATATAATTCGAGGTGTACAGCAAGATAAAAGTAAAAAATTTGTTCTCTCAACTAGATTCAAAAAGTGGTCTTCTATTATCTGATTGGGCAATGAAGGTGTTACCACAAATGCATTGAGAGAAAATGGATGAGTGGTTTGGAAAGAAAGGAATATCTCTTCATGTTGATGTTCTTTTCTACATGGACAACAATCATGTTCTTAAAAAAATGACATATTTCACAGCAATTGATCGATGTCTTCAAAACATGTCATCAGTTTTATGTGTTTTTGAACATGTAATTGATCAAGTTAAACAAGATATACCTGGTTTAACTACGTTATCCATACGTGGTGATAATGCTGGCTGTTATTCTGGTACAGCAGCTATTATAGCTCGTCAAGTTATATGTGCTAGTGCTGACATTTATTTGAAGAGAGCTGATTTTAGTGAACCACAGCGAGGCAATGATCAAGCCGATCGCGATATTGCCGTGGCAAAATCCTGCCTCAAGGCCTATACAAATCGTGGTGGAAACTTGATAAATGCAAAATCCATCAAAGAAGCACTTGTTGAATCTTTTGGCAATTTATCTGGTTGTAAAACATCAGTTATTGCTGTTGATGAGTCGAAATGTTATTTGCCAAACATGAAAATAGAAGGTATAACAAAATATCATTCAGTTGCATTTAATGATAAGTCGATTACTTTATGGCAATATTTTGATATCGGTAGTGGGAAGTCGAAGAACTTGACAGATTGTAAATGTATTTTACACACAACAGTAATACTACCATTCTCGGATAATCAAAAAACAAACAAAGAAATTTTAATGAAAAGTACTTTATCTTCAGCAATTTTCTTCTGTTCGGTTGATTCATGTGCAGCAACATTTGACAATGAAGAAGAACTTATGAATCATGAATAAAAAGCCGAACATTTCTATACTGATAATTGTTCTGTATCAACAATCGATCGTGTTCGATATATATATCGAGCATTTAAAAGGAGCGCGTCTTCTGGAAGAAGCATCCAACACAACAGCAATTGAATATTTTCAAAACTCAAGTATTGAAAATATTCAATTTAGTAACAAAGATGCTGAACTTTACCGAACATTCTCATCACAAGGCTATGCTATCCGTCGAAGACAAAAGTCAACGAAAATTACACAAGAACATCAACAATTTTTTGTAAAACTGTTTCACCAAGGTGAAAATACTGGTAAAAAAGTCACAGTTGAAAGTGTATTTCAAGAAATGCGTCGTGCACTAAAGTCGGACAATACAAAACTCTTTACAACTAACCAACACTTAACTAAAAGTCAAATTCGTAGCCTTTTTGGTCGCTTATCAAAAAAAGGACTGATTGATAGACGAAGTCAATTGATACAGAATAATGAAAAGGACTAAAAACAACGCTCCTATGAAGAATCGAGAAGCAGCAATGAAGACGACGCTGAAAATATTTTAGAAAGCAACAAGATGAAGAATTAGAAGATCTTAAAGCTGATGAAGTTGATAATGCATTAAATTGCTGTAGTGATAACGAATATGACACGGAAGAAATGGATCAAGATTAAAATATCATTACCTTTTTTTCTACGCTGTCATATACACTTTTTCTAAATAAATGAGCTATATTAAAAATATATGAAATCTCAAGAGTGTAGTTTGACATCAACAGCTAAGTAGTGTCAGAATTACCTAAAACACATTCATTTATAAACGTATCTGATCATAGATATATGATATATTCTCAGACTGTCCATATAAAAGTGAAAAATCAAGAGTCATGTATTTCTAAATATATGATCATAAATTGATAAGGTAAAATTTATTAGATTTTCTTGTTATTTATATCAATAGATAATCAAGAATAACACAAGTCACTAAAAGAGTTACATTTTATTTATATCTAAAGAGTTTACTATTTGATATTACCGGATTTAGCCACGAAAAAAAACCCTGAATTGAGTATATAACATGGATAGAAGAAAAAACTGACTTTTAATCGAAAGTGCTTTACTTTTCTCAAGGGCCAAAATTGTGAGATAGCCTAGGTGGGAGAACTTGATGTGCTATATCACCAGTGAAAATATCAGAGCGATTGCTTGTTGCCGCATAAAATGCGACTGACCAACATTTTGGTGAAAAAACGCCAAAATAGATTTTTTGAGGGTATTTCCGAAGTTCTTATGGAATTGACGAAAACTTTTGAATTTTCGTACCTGGAAGGAGAATACCTCAATATTTATAGTTAGAAAAATGAGAACTTAAAATTTTTAGATATTGAAATACAAAAGTCACTTTTACTAAAAAACACTACCCCAAAATCGGTTAAAAATCAATATTAAAAATTATTAAAAATTCCGCTAGTATTTCGATTGTTTGTATTGGAAAAGGTGATCCGATCGAGCGGAAAATTTCAGGAAATACTAAATTCACTACTCTCTATAACATATAAAAAAATCAGCGAATTCTGAAATGTCACTTCATCGTCGATGCCCTATAGTGACTGATTTTCTCAGGCACTTAATCTTAAGTTTTTTATTTTTTGTGCTTGAAAATTTTGTTTTTAACTCAATAAAAAAATAAATAAAATAAAAACCTCATCTATGTCATCTCTTGTAGCAACTGTGACGCAGTTACGGTGTAACTGCGATCGCAGTTTGATCGTGATGAAACATATGGGTTCTTACTTTCTGTAAGTTTATTCGCTGTTCATAATTATTATTCATAACATCATTATCTATACCAAACCTGCTGTTTCTTATGTTGATATTGTTCTTTCTTCTACCCAAGAACTTTTGCCATACATTGTATTTGTTAGGATGGTATTATTACACCTGTTGAATAAAGTTTCTACTAAGTCATCAATATAAATGAAAGCAAATTATATATTTAGTTTATTTTTATATATTTCTTTATTTTATCAATCTACGCTTTAGATTCTAATTTAATACTATATCGTTCAATGTGGTATATGATTGTGGACGCACAGCAAATACAATATTTCATCGATTAGCTGTACCTATTATCGAATAACAATTTTAAACAACAAATAATCTCACAGAAAGTAAAAAAAGATATCTATAACGTCAACTTTTGACAATGGTCGAATGAATAAGACCGAAATACCAAGTATTGAATAAAGTCATAAATTTAACAACAAGAGTTATTCTTTTGATTGAGAGTGTACCAGACTTTACATCGACTTCATGCAAATCGAATGAAACTTTCAGAGTTTGTAGTATTTGTATCTGTAAGTATAGCTGTAGAATTAAAAAGAAAATTAAAACCTTGCAAAGAGGTCTGACTAGGAAGGACAATTTTGAGTCTCCCAGCGAAAACCTAATTTCTAGAATTCCTCTATTTTAAATGATAGAAATATGAAAATTTAAGAGTAGATACTAATCAATGAAACAGTCATTTCATTAATCGGAAACTTTTTTGTTCGACGTTTTCTTCGCATTGAAAAAATCTCACAAAAATCAGCTATTTCGGATTTTTAGAGTCTGAATTTCTTCGACAAGGAACAGGATCTAATTGATGATTTTATATGCGTTAGAATTGTCTTTTAACATAAATTTTATTTATAGGATTTGGGAAGGCTTAAAACCGAAGCTGAGCGCTGAGACGAGGGGTTTGAAGGAAAGATTTTTACTTTTTTATAAACTTTAGGATCGTCTGATGAGAAAACTAAGGATTGTCGTCAGGAAAAAACCTTCTATTTGAGATCTCCTTGGCATAGGCTATAATAAAAATGTATTTACTTCAATGACCAATGAGTTTGAAAATTCTGGAAGATCCCTATGAAAATTTCGTTGAAAATTCATTGATCCTAAAAGTATAGGGCCAATGTTGAAATATCATTTTTTTGGTAGTTCGGTTTGAGTAGACTATGAATACATACTGCTCAACTCACTACAAGCCTTAGTTTTCTCATCAGACAATCCTAAAGTTTATAAAAAAAAGTGAAAATCTTCCCCTCAAATCTCTCGTCTCAGCGCTCAGTTTCAGTTTTAAGCTTTTCCAAATCCTATAAATGAAATGTATGTTAAAACACAATTCTAACGCATATAAAATCATCAATAAAATCTTGTTCCTTGTCGCAGAAATTCAGACTCTAAAAACCCGAAATAGCTGATTTTTGTGAGAAACTTTTCGATACGAAGAAAACGTCGGACAAAAACGTTCTCGCTTAATGAAATAACTGCTTCATTGATTAGTATCTACCCTTAAAGTTTCACATTTCTATCATTTAAAATAGAGAAATTTTCGAAATCAGATTTTCGTTGGAAGACCGAAAATTGTCTTTCCTTTTCAGACCCCTTTGCAAGGTTTTTAAAGTTTTTAATTCTACAGCTATACTTACAGATACAAGTACTACAAACTCTGAATGTTGCATTCGATTCACATGAAGTCGACGTAATTATGGTACGCTTTCGAAAGAACTACCCACAAACTAGATATTTTCTGTAATGATTTTTGCAACACTTTTATTTTTGCTGTATTCAATAAATCACTTGACAAACTAAACCTAAGAAATACCTATTGTTTTAACAAAAGAACTAAAAACCGCGTTGGTAAATATTGCGGTATTCAACGTTCTTAAAAACCGTGGTATGCCGTCGAATAACTGCGTTATTTGTTACTGCGGTTTTTCTGCTGAGAACCGCTGTGTATCTGGCACTTATAGCATCGTGATGGAGTGTGTAAGGGCTAAGAGGATGTCGTGCCCCGCAATTTTCATGAAAGTTTGAATAACTTTTCTTATTCTATCTCTGACTGCAAAGTAGCTTTGTGGTAATGAAACTTCTAAAAGTTCATTACAGTGCACCTCGAAGGGTAGCTCATCTGAACGTTTGCCGAAGTTCAGGTGAGTCTGGTCATACCTAAGTCAGGTGTGGCCATGGAAACCGCGGCATATCGCAGTTCAAAAAACCGCAAAGTCAGACCTTTTATGCGATTTTTCAAGAGCGCTATAAACTGGGATGTTTTCAGACCGCAGGAATTAACGAATTTTCGAAACCGCGAAAGTCAGATCTTTTATGCGATTTTTGAATACCGGTGAAAACCGCGGTGTGAAATTACCACGGTTTGTGGCGGTTTTGAAAAACTGCATAAAAGGTCTGACTTTCGCGGTTTCGAAAAACCGCTGACCACCGCGATTTGTGAAACCGCGGTTTTCGTTCAAAAATTTATCCGTGGGATGAGTGCGCATGTGTCTCAATTCGATCCACACCCACATCCTGGATAAATCAAGAACGATTTTGAGTTTTCACAAAGAAATCAGCGTCTATAAATTAACAGAACAGGAATAACAATTAGATTGATTATTCGTGATAAGGTTTTCTTTTTGTCATGCATTTATGTTTTCACAGTAGGTTACTGGTGAAGATAAATTAAAGAATAAATTTCTTTAGGAAAGAAAGAACCTATTTTAATTGCCTTCTCCGTAGATCTATCGTGTTCAGTTTTGTAAAGATATGTTATTTATCGCTTCGAAATTCATGTTCTTCCAACGAAAAATGCTCGAAAAGAAACATTGGATCAATCTCAAATCAAGCATTGAATTCGTTCTAAGACGAACTAAATCAACAAGCTATTCTTCATAAACAATGATATCAGAGCCGTTAGGGAGAAAGCTCATTCAAAAAAAACAATCTTCACTCTGAAAAAGTGTCTTTATATTAGATCCATAGAGAAAAAAACTTTTAGCGCTATGTCTACAGGATAAAAATGTGAAAGAGATAGATCCACTTTATCCATGACAAAGAAGCGTCGTCACGTCTATCATAGATATGTCAATGTCTTGGTTTTTAACTGTTTTGGGGTCAAGGAATTTATATTTTTAAATAATTATTCATTTGCATATTTATTTATTTAAATATTTTTTTAGAATATAAATTCTATCGTCCAAAAA